TCAGGAAGTTAAATGTCCTGTGGTTTCTCTCATAGGCAGAAGCTAGAGAGGAAAATAAGGGTGGGTGTGGATGTCCTAAGAATGGCAGGAGATCAGTAGAGGAAAGGAGCAAGGGGTGGGAGGGAGGCAGCAGGGGCCTAAGAAAATGCTGGGGAGTGATATTGGCCACTTTGTGTTGTATACTGTGTGCATGTACGAATACGGAGCAACAAATCCCATTATCACGTACAAATATAATGCAACTCTAAAAAAATGTAAAGAAAACTAAAAAGAAGGCAGGACAGGTCATAATAGCAAGAAACCAAGAGAAAACTTCAATCACCWGAGATAAAATATAAACCCAAAGGCATGCCCTGAGTGGTTTACAAAACTCAGCCACACCCTACCTGCCCTCAGTAACCACCCAGTTAATCCCTTTAAGGCTTTGAATCACTGATTTGGTGAAAGTTATCATAAGCCAATCTCTCACCTCTAACTTTCATGCATTGTCTCTCATGCAAGCCTTCTAAACCTCAAATCTAAACCATGAACCCCTGACCTCATAATTCTCAGTGTTCAGAATGGGATAAATCCTCTACCCAATGCTGGAGATATGCCTCTTCCCAATGCTGGACATAGCTGAGTGGTTCTTCCCTAGTGCCTTTTATATTTTAGCAATGCAGGCATAAAAGCAGAGTCTAAATCTATAGTACAGGAGAACAGCTTTAAACACACAGTAAGCGAGAAATCAATATGAACCTATGTCAATGATATAAATGGAAAATACAATTTGATAAAATTGGATTACAACAAAAACCCCAGCTCTGCAAGATTTTCATAATCTGGTTCATCCATAAGAATGCAGCTAATGGAAAAAAGAAATCTCTACCACTTGAATCAGAAGAGCCTTTTTGTATTTGGTATTTGGTACTGGAGATTGAACCTAACAGACTCTTACTGCAGAGCCACAAACCTAGTAATTTTTGTATTTTTCTTTTGAGTCAGAGTCTCACTAAGTTGATGAAGACCCTGGTACGTTATTTAGGAAGGCCTGGAACTTGCAATTCTCCTTTCTTAACATTGCAAATGACAAGGATTACAGATATACATGAGTTCATTTCCATTTCAATGATGAGTCATTTAAATTTATAACCACTAGATATTGGTTGTTGGTTATAGCAAGATACAAAATTATGGAAGAGGAAACTAAGATCATAACCTAGATTCAAGACAAATGGAAATGGTTCCCTAATTGTCAAAGCAGGAAGAGTGGAGAAGTCCCTGTTGAAACAATACAATTTAGAGATTATAATGCTGAGGTGAGGCACAAATTCCTAGAGAGAGAGGGTTTAACTCACAGTGAAGCAAAGAGGCTCCCATCCCATTGTCTGGAGAACTTACCAGGAAATAAGAGTTGGAGGAGAAGATAGCCAGTAGGTTCCTCAGGTGAGCAGGGACTTGCTCTTCTCCCAAGCTCTGGACTATTCAGTGCCCTTCTCTGGGAACATGCCACCTCTGCTTGACTTCCTTTTATTTAGGGTCAATCAGTTTGTAAATCTCATCAGGGTCACATTCCAGGGACACACCCTGGATTCACAGACACTGATCCTATCCTGTCTTCAGCTGGGAACACACCCTCTCAGGCTGATTGGATATCCCAGACTACATTAAATCTGTTTCCCCACACCTAGTTTGAGATCAATGAGGGAAGGCTACTCCTGAGGGGGAATTTGCAAGATAACTTTGGTCTTCACTCACTTATAAATAGCCCTGTGTCCATCCTGTGCATGGGAAGCATTCTAATAATAGGAATCTGTCCAGAAAACCAGCAAACAAGTGTCTCATGGGCAAAAGGCACAATTGCCTGGCAAAATAGTGGATTTTAATATATAATGAAAGGTGAATAGAAATGTTTTCAAGAAGAAAATGG